ATGAAAGAAGTTCCGTCACATAAATCGAACGTTCAGTTTGATGAACCGAATAGTCCGATCGATATGGGCCATCATACTGCCATGCTAAAGAGGAACGTCGGATTATAGTCTTCAGACGTTTCCAAATTTTCATTGACAAAACACGAATTTTTCTTTAAAAATATTTTTCTTCCAATTTCACACAAAATTTTGTTCTTAATATGATCTGAAGTGTATGAAAATCCCACGGAAAAATATTCATAACTTTCTCCCAAAATACATTATTTACTATGGGAAATTTGGCAGCATTCAAAAGTTCCTACGGCAATTTTTCTTAGCATTATGAAACGTAGCATTATGTTACATCGAACCCTAAAACGCCTTCAAGTTATGGACCTGCAACACGGCCATCCACTGAGTACAAATAGTTGCAAAATGACCCGATGATAATGGCGCAGTGTCACATCGCGCCCCAAAACGCCTTCAATTTTTCGTATATGCAAGACGGACATCCACTAAGTACGTATAGTTGCATCAAGGCGCTATGATGGTGTCTTGTACTTAGCGCTGTACGTATACGGCCGAAAAGTTCAGAGCTGTTTCTATTTGTAGGTGCGAATAACTTTTCTGCTCTCTCATTATATCATGATAGTGCTCGTAATGTCTCCGTGTTTTCAGCACGAAATTTCTTGAAAATCTTAAGATCTGATTTCCGAAGTGTCTCGAACTCATCAGTTACCTCCAAAAATCGTTGTACTGACGATGTTTGAAAGGCAAAACTCAACAATTCCACCAATGAGCCTCTTTGAAGCCTCTAGTTTGTGCATGGGATGGGCGCCTCTGGAATTTCTCCTCATTTCGGTCGACCAACAGAGAGAGCAGCACAGTTATGTTCCAAAAAGATACAAAATCAGAAAAAATAAGATTTGTCACGCATATATAAAGCTCTAAATTGTGATTAATAGCATCAGCGCAGAAAATTCATTCATCACATTAAGGGTGAACTGGGAAGCCATAGAGCTGACAGGCCTCTCGTCTCCAAATCTTCGCTCGTCAGTTGTGAAGATCGCTGTGATTAGCGATGCCTAAATTGTGGAGACCCTCACCTCCTCCCCTCTCGCTCATGAAACAACTGCGATCGAATGGGTCCGTTGCAAACTTCGTCGCTCTTCTAACGTAAGGGCGCATCAACATTTCTACGTGAGCCCTAGAATGCACGGAGTCATACGGAGCACAGGGCTCGCGTAGAAATTGAAATACGCTTTTACGTCAGGAGAGTGACGACTTTTGCTGGAGGAAAGAGGAGAGTTGTATATACCGAAAAATGAATAAAAAATCAAGATGAGCGTAAGGGGAAATCCGGAAAATTACTCCTATAATGTCACAGGTATCTGCGTAAGAGATTTGTTCATTTTTAGATGTTTAGTGTGTTCCATGACGTATCATCATGAGATCACATGTCATGTGGTGCTCTAATTTTTATCATCTATAGTGGTCATTTTGGAGCCCCAAACATAGCCAATTAAAATTGTAAACAACTTTCCCTCCAAACTATCTTTGTTGAATCGCATATTTCGGGCTGCAATAGGATTGCGCGAATGTCCCCTCTATTACCTTCTTGGAGGTGCAAAGGATTGCGCAAATTTTTCTGGTACTGAAAACTCACATGTTTGCGCGAATATTCAATATTCAACGAGGATACGTTAATCTGGCAATCTTGGTAGTTTGTGGTATAGGACTGTTCAGTGTTCCTTCCCTCCTCACTTACGGGCATATCTCTCTTCGACGGATAGCCCTCGCAGAACGAATGGCCCAGAGAGCTTTCATAGTCATTTGAAATGTGAACTAGGGGTCTGAGGCCACTACGCGGCCGCCAACCACTGAAAAAAACTATACGTAAAAAATCGTAGAACAACCATGTTGAAGTTGTTTCAGAGATGAATGGATTCAAAAACCGACGAGTGCGCCCCAAAGAAAGTGTATATTTATCTCTGATAGCAACGTTATGCACCACTTTTATGTTCAATTTTTAATAAATGTTTTTAAAAAGCTACAAACAGTTTTTCTGAAAAGTTTCCGCGAATTCACCTACATGATCTCAAATAAAAGTATCGAAAATTTTGGCACGATTATTTTCGTTCGTTCTATTTTCTTCCAATAGATAGAAATTAAATATCATTCTAGTTTCTGAATCGTTACGACGAGGATACAAATTTTTCATTAAATGATGGTAAAAACTGAGCAAAGAGTCAAGAATGATGACACGCAGTCCTACTCCACAGCATTCCTACAGTCTAGTAGGCGCTAATAAGCGTTTCGCTCCAACTGACCGAGTGCCCTGCGTTTGGCGCAATGCGAGAAGTATTCATGCAGTCTTGTAGGCGCTGTACGCCGCCGCACTGTTTGGCGCAATGCGTGAAGTATTCAGAGAGTCTTGCAGGCGCTAATTTACGTTTAACGCAGCGCTGGCCGCACTGTGTGTGGCGCAATTATTCGAAATTGCGTTAGAATAATCGCGGCATCGAATAATAGAGCTTAAAAGGCCCATATTGTGTTTCGATACTGTACGAGCATTCCAACGTTGCCTCGTTTATCCCAATTAAATATTTTTCCTGAGAAAAGTTAGGAAAATTCTTCATACCTACGACCATTATTCAATCTTTTAACTTCATTAATTATCAGAAGCTAGAACATCGATGACTAGTCAACAAACTAACCTAAACTAGCGGTCAAATAAAAATGTGTTTATTTTCCAGCAGTTTCCTGTTTTGCCAAACTTCTACCTTAAATTAACTTCATTTTAAATTCGCGCATTCGGCGCATTCCTGTAGCAGATGCTGAGGTTTCTATTCGCGCAAGCCTCGTATATTTTCTTGGACCTTACGCGCAATCCTGGATTACCGAAATTTCGCACTATTGCGACTAAATTGATTTGATGATTCCAGGTATTTCTGCTTCAAAATTTTCGTGGAATATTCTTCTAGGCAGTAGTATAACGATACCGCGATTTTGAGTTAGGTATAGGTGACGATACCACAGTTTTGAGTTTTTAGATGTTAAGGTCCTGCTTCATGGGGACGGTCAGAATTTTCAATAATTCTGAGAAAAATGCTAGAAGACGGAGCTTTAAAAATTCTACGTCAATCAAAGTCATTTGACTAAGCTGAGAAACAATATAGTTCCTTTAAAAGCTGTTCTCTCGCACTTGAGTTTCCTTGAGTTTCCGCGTTTCCCCGCTGTTGGAGGTTGTGGATGGAGCAATTCCGAGCGAAAAATCTTGAAAATAATAAGCGAGCTAGCGATTGAGCGCGCAACGCCGCACAGAGGAGCAAGTCAATGGAAAAAGTCTAAAAAAGTTTTATCTTTGTTAACACAAAAGGTAAAAGTTTGAAAACGGTTCCGTTGGTTGGTTCGTAAAATATAATTTAAAAAGCGCCCCTTGAAATTTGTAATGTGACGGGATTAACATCTAAATTTCCAATTTTGATCAAAAACACCGTGTCCGACCTGACCCAACGACTCGGTCTACCGTGCGCCGCGCTGAGCTGCCTCCTTTTCCTCACCGATAATGGCCACTTGTTGAATGTCTCGTTTTGATGGCGACCTACTCTCTTTCAATTATTGATCCTTGTTGAAAATGAGCAAGCTCAAAGCCTCATCTTAAATTTTTGGAGGGTATGGATTCGATCGACATGAATCGATCGAAAAATGAAAACGTGAATCGATCGACATGAATCGATCGACACCGATTCGATCGACAAATTATTAAAAGACCGGTGTCGATTCGATCGACATGAATCGATCGACACCGATTCGATCGACACCGATTCGATCGACAGTTAAATTAAAAACATCCGTATCGATTCGATCGACAGTTAAATTAAAAACACCCGTATCGATTCGATCGACACCGATTCGATCGACAGTTAAATTAAAAACACCCGTATCGATTCGATCGACATGAATGGATAGAAAAATGAAAACGTGAATCGATCGACACCGATTCGATCGACAAAATTCGATCAACTCACGGGTTTGTCGATCGACTCACGGATTTGTCGATCGATTCACGGGTTTGTCGATCGACTCACGGATTTGTCGATCGATTCACGAGTTTGTCGATCGACTCACGGATTTGTCGATCGACTCACGGGTTTGTCGATCGACTCACGGGTTTGTCGATCCATTCACGGGTTTGTCGATTGATTCTGGTAGTCGCACAAACCGAACGAATGAAACTGAAAAACTCAAGAAAAGAACGCGGATAGGATAAACTAAGGTCTTGCGCTGAAAAATCTTCATTGGTTGATCCTCAAAATTTCTCTCGGCGCAAAGCACAAGGACCATTTTCAGCGGGACTTGTGCTCTCAAAATTTCCCGTAATTGGAGAAATGCTTGGAAATTGAGGGAGCGTTGAAACCATAAATCACTTCAACCGGAACATAAGCCAGCGAATCCCTTTTTTGGGGGGTGTGTCGTGTTCGGTAGCGGGTACTCGATGTGGAAAGCGAGACGGGCGCAAACGTGTAGTCTGTAGAGATTCCGCGCGACTGATCAAAACTCGGCCGAGCCCGGGCCCCGTCGAATCCAGTTGCGTGGATGTCCATGTTGCGCTTTCCCATAAGCCGGCACAGTGAGCAAGGATCCATGTATCTATGACCGCTCTACTACCGTGCTAAGAAAAAACGCCGTATGAACCTCCAGGCGTTGCCAAATTTCTTCTCATGAAAAACGATTTTATTGGGGAAATTGTAAATATTTTTCCTCCAATTTTTCAAACTATTTTGTTCGCAATATAATCTAAAATATCTGATAATTTTAAAGAGAAACATATACATAAATTTCATCAAAAATACATGTTTTATCCGAGGAAATGTGGCAACTCTCGAATGTTCGTACGGCGTTCTTCCTTAGCACAGCAGTGTAGCCTGCGTTGAAAAAAATTAGCTTAAATTTGCCGCCCAATTTTTTTTTTTTTTAAATCTTAATTTCAGCTGATGCAGACAATTAAAATTACATACCTTATGAGAGTCTCGCAGCTATCAATCCTGAAATACGAGAAAAGGAGGTCATTAATATCACACGTTGCATTGAAATGAGGAAGGATACTAGTGGTTAATTATACAGGATGATCCAAAAGTCCCTTCCACCCCCTCTAACTTTTTACCTAATTGAGATAAAGATTTGAAACTTGGGGGATATTCCTAGGTCAAAGGAAGCTACTTTTCGGCCCCCCTAAAATTTTCAGGGGGGCCCCCCTTGGGGGGCAACGGCCCCCAACTTTGAATTTTTAAATAGGAAGACCCCCTTTGTGATAGATCGTTTGAAAGAGCATAAAAAAAGAAAACTTTTCGCGCAAACCCGAAGTCAATATCTCAAACCGTTTCAAAATGGCGGCCGGTTAAAGTTCAAAATGGCCGAAATTTCACACCGGTTATTTTTCGATGGATTTGCGCGGAAATCGGTATGTAGGGGTATTTTGACACGAGAAAAACGAATTTGACGTTAGATTTTCAAAAAAACCGAAATTTTCAAAATGGCCGCCGGTTAAAGTTCAAAATGACCAAAAATTTATTTTTTTATAAATCTAAGTTCAAATGTGTTTATCTTATGCCAAAATACTCTCAAATTCCAAGTTTTAGGCAAATCCATCAGGAAAAAACCAAGGTGAAAATTTTCGGCCATTTTGGAAATTTTGGTTTTTTTGAAAATCTAACGTCAAATTCGTTTTTCTCGTGTCAAAATACCCCTACATACAGATTTTCAAATCCATCGAAAAATAATCGGTGTGAAATTTCGGCCATTTTGAACTTTAACCGGCCGCCATTTTGAAACGGTTTGAGATATTGACTTCGGGTTTGCGCGAAAAGTTTTCTTTTTTTATGCTCTTTCAAACGAGCTGTCACAAAGGAGGTCTTCCCATTTGAAAATTCAAAGTTGGGGGCCCCCCTGAAAATTTTAGGGGGGCCAAAAAGTAGCTCCCTTTGACCTAGGAATATCCCCCAAGTTTCAAATCTTTATCTCAATTAGGTAAAAAGATAGAGGGGGTGGAAGGGACTTTTGGATCACCCTGTATGTAAAGGACACACGCAGTATGGGATTATTCAGCAATTTTCAATTGCTGTACTTCTGGGAAATAGAAAGGGAAAGGCCGTTTATACATAAATATACAGTAATTTTCCCCGATTTTGTTAAATGATAGTAAACCACGAAAAACGAGTTCGACTTAGCGTGCACGAAGAAAAAAACGTCTGCATGGGACCCGCAGTTGAGGTCATATGGATCTCTGAAGTTTTCTGATCACGCATCCGAAAACTTGAGATCGAGCTGCCGAAGTTCGGGTCAGACATCGAGGCACTTCGGTATGCACCGAAGTACTTCAGATACGTGACCCGAACCCTTCGATATATATCGAAGTACTTCAGATGTCTGACCCGAACTTCGGCAGCTGGACCTCAAGTTTTTAGATATGTGATCCGAAAACTTCAGAGATCCATATGACCTCAACTTCGGGTACCGCGCACGAAGTTTTTTTCTTCGAGCATGTTGGGCTCACATTTGCACGCACATCCCCCAGAAAGCTACCATGACGTCCGATAATATAACTACTACCGTGTTGTCACTTTCCACCCCTCTATCGCAATTTATGGTCCACAGTTGCTACCATTGCATGGCTTTACAAACCATGGATCGCGGCAGAGGCATCGCCCGGTAGCAGAAGAAATCGCGGTGGTACGTCAAGGATATACCAATATCCGGACGCTATGTTGGCTTCCGCGGTGAGTTTAAACGGCAGTTCAAAGTATGCATCCATAAGCAAAGCAATGAGGATGGGACAATTGCGCTAAAAATTGAATCGTGTTTTGATGGTTTATGCTCCTGAAATTTAAAACAAAAATCCGAACATCTAGTTCCAACGGGGACGAGGCCTCATCAAAAAACACGGCGTAAGACGTCATCCACCGTAATATCGCCAGTGGCGTGGCGTGGCGTGCTTTGCCATCCATCGACATTTCCCCATTTGAAGCAGTAGTAAATAATCGATTATTAAGGTGTTCGCTGCGAACACCCTCTTGATTGATACTTTTCCATAGGTTTAAATGGCCGATCAATCGATATATCGCACAGCACGCCACGCCACTGAGTGCCATACCTTGGTTACGTACTCTCGTTTCATTAATCAATAAAAACGTTTGCACTGGTTCCTTTTATAAAACACGGATGAAGCCAAGACGGCACTGATGAAAATAACCACGAAATCGACTACCGCGATGGACGATTTCAGACAATGCGTTTCACACTATATACCGAATAGTGAATAACCACTGAGAGGTTATGTCCCCGGGATATTTTCGTGCGCGTTGATATTTTTGACATTTCAATCCGCGAAAATGAGAAACGCATAAAATGACGGAAAAAAATGAAAATGAAAAAACGAGATCAATGCAACCGGTCAGAGATGACCGGTCTATGCGCCCCCATGCTAGTATCCCCGGCCGAGAATATGGAACTCAGGATTAGGAGTTAGTTTTTTCAAGAATACTTTCACGCCTGTCAAAATTCCTGAAAGATCGATCCACGAAAGTTAAAAATGCGCTGGGAGTAGACAGAACCGGTCCGGAAAACGAACGGAAAATCCATCATGCTCCCATCCCAGTTTCATTGGACGAGAATCTGGAAGCTCGAATTTTTCTGTAGCTTGTAGCTGTAGCCAAAGGATATTTCCTCGCCTTTGGCAATTTTTACAATTGCGATCCAGGAATGTTGGAAATGTGCTGTAAATAATGAGGCCCGGGAAAATGGTCGGAAATGAGAGAAGAAAGAAAAATCCATTCTCTCTTCCATTTGTATTGGATGACCATCGGCTGCGGGAATTTTCGATGTTTTTTCCATCTTGCCACTTTTACCGGCTGAGATTCTGGAGCATTCGGTTTTGTTCTTCACGAATACTTTCGCGCCTACGGGATTTTCGAAACTTCGATCCGAGAAAATTAAAATGCGCCATAAATGATAAGGGTCATGCAACTGGTCGGAAAAAACGGAAAATCCATGTTCCCATGCCGGTTTTTCCAGCCGAGAATCTGGAGCTCGGATTTTTCAGTAGCTTTTCATGAATATTTTCGCGCCAATGGAAAATTTTGAAAACTCCATTCAAGAAAATTAGGATGTGCTAAAAGTGATGGAGCCGATGCAACTGGTTGGAAAATAATAAGGAAATTAAAAGCTCGCTTGTCATTTATCTCGGATGACCATCCGAAACGCGAAATTCCGAGTTCTCGCTCCAAGCATATTTTCGCGCCACTGAATATTTTGAAAGTTCGATCCGGTAATGTTAAAAACGCGCTATAAATAACGGGGTCGATACGACTGACCGGAAAATAATGAAAACTGCATTCTCTCAACCACTTGTCTCGGATGAGCATCCGCAGCGCCGAATTTGGAGTTCTTATTCCAATCATATTTTCGCGCGTATGGAAATTTTTGAAAGTTCGACCCGAGAATTTATTAATAATAAAGTCAATGTAACTACTCGGAAAATAACGATAAATCAATGCTCTCATGCCATTATCTCTGCCTAATAATCTGGAGCTAGGAGGTAGCACGTCACGTTTCCGACAGATCCGTCAGATTCTACATAATTACGCGCTCGATCTTCATCTCGGTGTCGCGCGGGATGAGTTTTTTTTTTTTGCAACTTTGCGAGAGGAAATGAGAGATGACGCGAGAATCACCGCAATATCGCGGCGTGTATGAAAATTGTTACAGCAGTTGAAAAACATTGAAGATCCCACAGTTTTCACTTCGATCGAGGAAATTACGCGAATTTAATATCGACGCGGGCATAATTTTCATGACCGTAGTAAATTCAGTTAGGAGAAACTCTATGAATCTCCTTCAATTTCGCGTGATACCACTCAATGGCCTTTCTCAAATGACTTACAGCAATGATGCGCAAACTTACAATGTTGAGCAAAGTACGCGATATTTCCAACGGATTCATAAGATCCCGAGAAATTAGGCGATTTTCATCTCGCCATCGCACGAAATGCACTTTTTTCTAGCAATTTTGCAAGAAAAATGAGAAATAACGTGATATTCACCGCAATGTATGTATGCGCTTTTACTTTATACATTTCTGTCGGACCAATTATCAAATCACCCCCCCCCCTTTCGAATGACTCATTAAACTGGATACTGGATAGGACAATAGATACGAGAAGAAGAATACGGGAAATTTCGCTTCCGTCGCCAATTTTGGATGCACATCCACTTGCAATAAAATACGCTTCATCATGAACGTCAGTAATTCGAGACAGGTAAAAACCCACTATTTGCCTGCAGAGCGGCGTAATACCAAATATCATTCCAACGGCGTAGTTCTGAATGATAGTTGAACACCGCATTCAACTATGCATACTGCCTATATTCATAGCCTCAGTAATTTGAGACGGGTGGGAGGCTTAAGATTTTCCGTCAAAGCGGCGTGATATCACAGAACATACCAAAGCCAGAGTTCGAGTAAAGTTGCGCATCATGTCTACAATTTGGGCCCTACATTTATAATATTAGTAATTCGAGACAGGTAAAAAAGGTAAATTCTCCTTCAAAGCGGCGTGATACCACATCACATACCAACGCCGATATTTACGCGCTTGATTTCAGAATTTAACGTTGGGAGCATTGTGCACACATTTACAAACGTCAGTAATGTGTAACACGTGGAACGCCAATACTTCCCTTCATTTTCGCGCGACACTTCACGTACCTACCCCGGAGTCCGAAAAGAGGAGTTTCCTTCAAAGCGGCGTGATACCACATCACATACCAACGCCGATATTTACGCGCTTGATTTCAGAATTTAACGTTGGGAGCATTGTGCACACATTTACAAACGTCAGTAATGTGTAACACGTGGAACGCCAATACTTCCCTTCATTTTCGCGCGACACTTCACGTACCTACTCCGGAGTCCGAAAAGAGGAGTTTCCTTCAAAGCGGCGTGATACCACATCACATAAAAACGCTGCTGTTCCGATATTTACGAGACTTACAGGCGCTAACACGCCAAATGCGCCTAAAATATGAGGGATATGTACCCACGAGGTTCCTTAAATGTCCCCCCCCCCCGCCCCTCACAAAAAATCCTAATTTTTCTGTTGGGCGATTTTTTTAAATTTCGACGCTCGGCAGCGGATTCCGAGTTTTCACTAAATGCATCGTGATACATGGGCAAAAAGTCAATTTGGCCCCTAAAAATTTTCGTTGGTACCTAAAAATCGAGCTTCATGGACCACATGGCCCTTGAAACTCAAAGGCGAGTTTCGAACACTGTTAAGGAATTATACCAACGGGTCAGTTACCTTAGTCACAGAATCGGATGTTGTTAGTTTCAGCTTAGAGATTAGCAAAACCCGAATTATGATCTTTTCGAACACCATGTTTCTACGTTCATTATTAACGGAGATATCGCCCATCGGAGAATACGGTGTATGACTTCATCAGTGTTCGAAACTGGCCTCTGAGTTTCAGGAGCCATGTGGCGCATCAAGCTTGATTTTTAGGGGCCATTGAAGATTTTTTAGGGGTCAAATTTACTTGTTGTCTATATATCACAGCGCATTTAGTGAGAAGTTAGACGCGAGGTGCTTTAGTTACAGAACTAGTAGCTGTAACTTGGGGGAAATTTCGACAAATCACCAAACAGAAGAATTAGGATTTTTTTTTTTTGGGGGGGGGGTGTAATTTTTTAGGGGCCACGCCCACGTTGGCGCAGAGCCTTCATTATTTAGGCGCCATGACCAATTTCTTAGGCGCATTTGACGCGTTGGCGCCTGTGAGTTTCGAACATTGGACGTCATACACCGCGCGCGTTGATGCGTATCATGATTGCATTTCCCTTTTAATTTCATGTAGAGTGAAATACATACACATTGGTACTGGTTACTGGGTTTAATCTCCCTCGCAATTTATTTGCCTATTATTTTATGACTGAATGCACTTGCGCAGTGGATAATGTTATTTTACACCATGTTTCTTCATGGGTGATATTCCTGTTGATACTGGACGTAAAAAATTGGCTACTGCACAAAATTTGTCCGTGTTTGCTGTTAAATAAGCTGAAATCATCAAAATACGATTCTGTCTAACGCAATTGGCCCCTTATTCAGGCCCGCCACAAGGGGGGAGGGGGGGGCCCTGTCGCCCGTAAGACACCACTTCGAATTCACCTATAGCCTTTGTCTCGTAAGGAAAAGTGAAAAATTCACCCTAAAACTTTCGCAAAATGTGAATAAATTTTCAAAAACACTCTGGGACACTGTAGAATTCTTCTTACTTACTTGTAAGAAGATTTTTATTCATTTAGTATATAAATAATTTTTTGTAAGTGAATAAGCTTCTCTCCTTAAATATACTGATCAATTATTTACTTTACTTTAAAACCTTATTGATTTTAATGATATTACAAATTATTTTTCCGGTAGTTAGGGGGCTGAGGGAGGGGGAGGCCCAGACCTTAAAACTGGTACCAGGGCCCGAGCTGGGATGTGGCAGGCCTGCCCTCATTGTATCCTGCAACAAGTGTCAACTGCAGAGGGAAAATGGATAAAATTTAAAGACAAAAAAGGAAGAACTTTGTCCATTTTTGCTGATAAAGCTGAAACCATCAAAATACTATTCTGTCCAACGCAACTGACCCACGTTGTATCCTGCAAAAATTGTCGACTAAAGAGGGAAAATGGATAAAATTTAATGACAAGAAAGAAAGAAAGAACTAATAGATACGTACCAGATGAGAGCTGTGAAATTGCCCGACGCCAAGCCGTAAGCACTCACGACACCACACTTTCACTGGAATTGCACTGCGCACTAAAAATTGGCCAAAAATCGTTAAGTTAGAAATGGTTAAAAAAATTCCAGATTCACCAGGAATTGAATCATGTGTGGTTAACTTACTTCAATTCTGCTCAGATAAGGCGTTTACAATAATACATGACATGAAAACAAGATAGGAAAAATCATGAAAATAAAATGATGTTAATGATAATAAACGGCGTATCTTGAAACCAGAATAATACAACCACGAGAAAAGTTTCTTGTGGATAGTCAAAAAACGAAAAAGGGGAAGAAACCAAGCATACTTAATGCATGTTCTTCCAGCTCCAATATATTAACTTACAGATACAGATGTAATAATTTCCAATTATTTATGTTTTGATTTATTTGCTTGCTTTATAAGTCCCACATAATTAACGTATGCTTCGTTTTTGTATACCTGATAAAACATAAATTGAATAGTTTAACGTTAGGCCAGTATCGTGGATGCTAGCCATTAGCCGCATCAGCGCTTATAATTCATCGTTCGACTTGACGTGAGATTTTAGTTTCGAAGCGAAAATCCGTGATTGTACGTAAGAAAACCTACCAACAATATTTGCTGCCAAGTTTCATGTTTGGACATCAAATTTACTGCATCAATGAGGACTGAAGATTCGACAACTATTTCAAGGAATACTACAAGAAGCTAGAATTTTTCTGCCCCCCCCCCTCCAACCCGGATTTATCGGGGCATACTGAAAAGTGTCTTCACTGCCGTACTTTCTTAAATCTAAAATTCAAGGACTTAAAGCCGGGATTTGATCTTCGTCGGCATGGAAGGTAAGTACTGGACTGGAGGAAAGAATTTCGAAGTTCCGCAGTGAAACTCACTGACTTTTCAGTGTTGGGCGAAAATCCCTGACTTTCCCACGTTTTCAACGACTTATCAAGAGCTATTCACCCTGGGATGTACATCTTTATCAGGGCTGCCGAGACTCTTACGTTTCCCATATTCCTCACTCACTTGTTACGCATCGTTATAAATTTTCTCACTTGCTACTTATCGTTCTCCATTTTTCTCACTACGATTCACAGTTCTTCATTTGACTCACTTATCGCTCAATGTTTCTCGATTTTGTTCTCTGTTCACTCACTGGGTCTCGATTTTACTCGCTCTTCATTCTCCGTTCTTGATTTTACTCACTCTTTACTAACCGTTTCTCGATTTCACTCACATTTTACTCACATTTTACTCTCATTTGGCTCGCTGTTTCTCGATTTTACTCACATTTTGCTCACTGCTTCTCGATTTTACTCACATTTTGCTCACAGTTTTTCGATTTTACTCACATTTTGCTCACTGTTTCTCGATTTTACTCACATTTTTCTCACTGTTTCTCAATTTTACTCACTCAGTACTCGCAAATCGTGCGAGATATGAATTCTTTTAGGATCGATTATGACTCCATCGATCGCTCATCACACCGTGAGACACTACGGTGGAGAATTATTCATGAATTATTCACAGATAATTGGATTACTCTCAAACTACTAACATTACACCCATTTAACTCGTCAATGCTTAAATTACACACGAGTCGGCAGCCCTGATTTTCTCACTGAGAAGAATTGGATACATAACTCGCAACAAAAACAACAGTTTCCGTGACAGTTGGTCGTAACGCTGAGAAAAATAATTATTGTGTTAGAGAACAGCAATTACTGCTGTTAGTAGTAATTCTGCTGCTGATTCTTCTCTGTCTGCTACGAACTGCGAAAACTTCTTCCTCTCCTGCTGCCATTACTATTTTTTGAGTCCGATCGCCAGTTTGCTAATTTTCTCAAATCGAGGAATTTTAGCAGCTGATGTGACTACTGTTGTTGCTGCCTATTGCGTCCTCCTTCTGCTGCTTCTTCTCTCTGATTTATTTCTTCAACTCCTTTCGCGTGAATGAGCATTTTGAGTAACAAGAAGATTTTAATTTTTCTAGTGCGACAGAAGGAACGATGGGGGAGGATGTTACAGTTCTTCATGTCCCACATTCTCTCAGTCTTATCTGTGATCTGAAGCAGGGTGGTGGGGCGTTCCTTTACCTTATGGCCTGTGATCTAAGCAAGTGTTTCCATCATTGTGAATCTGAATTTCCGTAAAAAAATGTGTGTTAGATGCATAGAATGAATTGTGACTATGAAAAAACTGAAGCATCAATCTAGCTAAGCTCGGGCAACGACGTCATTCACGGAAAACAGCAAGTTGCGTAGCTGTAATCCCACGGCTATGGCTGAAATTCGACGATCATCATCTTGAAATATGGGGGACAGGAAGGAGGGATTCAGAATGGCACAAAATTCGAATAGTATTTACATAGAAAAAAGCAGAACAGATTAATTAATTAGACAGAGAAAAGCAGAAGATATTATTAATTACATAGGGAAAAGCAGCAGATATTAATTAATTAGATAGAGAAAATCAGGAAAGATACATTAATTAAATAGAGAAAAGCAGGAAAGATGCATTAATTAGATAAAGAAAAGCAGGAAACATGCATTAATTAGATGGAGAAAAGCAGGAAAGATGCATTAATTAGATGGAGAAAAGCAGGAAAGATGCATTAATTAGATAGAGAAAAGCAGAATATATTATTTAATTAGATGAAGAAATCGGAAAAGAAAATGAAAGGTACTACTCAAGAACTAACTGAACAAAAGGTTAGCTACTTTAATAAACTACTAAAGAAGAAAATGTAGAAACACCTGAGAAATGGAGCTCTTGCATGTGTTCGGGATTTGCGACTGAAGTACTTATTCCTAAGTAATATTTCGCTCGAAACACGATGGTGCCACTAGTTTTCTCTAAAATCGATTCCCAAGCTCAAAAAAAGCTCTCAAAGTTGAGGCCGTAATGAAGGGGATGTTTAACACTGCCCTCAGAGTCTACCTTTATATCCAGTTAAATTTTCCATGCAAAGATAGGGAGCAAATACATTAGCAGGTTTGCCACTTTATTTGGAGACTCCGAAGTTGTAACCACGGCAATTCTGCTAATGTATTTGCTCCCTATCTTTGCATGGAAAATTTTACTAGGTGTAGAATTAATGGACTCTCAACGTTGCGTGGAATATCCTCTCCATTACAAACTGAACTCTGAGAGCATTTTAGAGCTTCGGAATTGATTTCAGAGAAAACCAATGGCACCATCGTGTTTTTCACGAAATTTTACGAATGAGAAAGTTGAAGTACTTGAAACGCAAATCCGTGACACTTGCAAAAACTCCACCGTGTTGGTTTTTTTTTTTTTTTTTTTTTTTTTTTTTTTTTTTTTTTTTTTTTTTTTTTTTTTTTTTTTTTTTAAATTCATATTTAATTTTTATTTTGATCTTGAGTGGGTGAATGTTGATCCCTTCTTCGTGGATGTTGCCTCAGAAGAGGGATGGAGAACCGGAACTGAGAGTGAGTTCGCGTGGTTTGTAGGGCTTCAATCAATCCCGCATACAAATCAGTCAATCCCGCGTGCAAATCAGTCAATCAGCATACAACTCAGTCAATCCCGCATGCAAATCAGTCAATCAGCGTACAAATCAGTCAATCAGTCCAACAGTCAAAAAGGATATAAGGAGAGGAAGGAGTGGAAGGAGCGGAAGGAGTGGAAGGAAAGGTGGGAGGGAGAGAAAGAAAGAAAGAAATAGAGAAAGAGCAGACTGGTGAGCATGCCCAGCCTAGGCATCGGGAGCCAATCCCGAGGTCACCGACCAAGGGTAAAAGGGCACCTCCATGGTGCCCGCAACCATCCACCGGGGTAGACGTGCGGCCGGGGCGGTGTCTGCAGATCGCTCCTCTAGCGCCCCCAGACGGTACAAGACGTCCGCCGACCGGATGGACGACCGCGCGCCGGGCGCTCCGACGAGTGCTCGGTCGGACGACAGAGCCTCCAACTCAACTTCACTTTCAGGCCGAGGCTAAAGGCCTCAGCCTGAAAGTGAAGCTGATACGAAAGCACTATCATCACGGTAGAGCAGTCGACGGAGCGTCCAGCGGGTGTCCACCCGCTCGTCGGACATCAACGACGTTCGCCGACCGGGCGGACGACCGCGCGCCGGGCGCTCCGACGAGTGCTCGGTCGGACGACAGAGCCTCCAACTCAACTTCACTTTCAAACCGAGGCTAAAGGCCTCAGCCTGAGAGTGAAGCTGATACGGAGGCACTGTCATCACGGTAGAGCAGTCGACGGAGCGTCCAGCGGGTGTCCACCCGTTCGTCGGACGTCGGACCGTAAGGAAGCACTATGACCGAAACTGACGGCCGTCGTCGTCGTTGAGCGTCACGGCTGTGAAATGCACGTCGCGGCTGATACGGAACTTCCAGGACCTCTTTAAGGTGATTTGATGGACGCCATATTTTGTGTCAGAAAGGCATGCGATACATCGCATCAATTAGTTCCATTTTTTCAGCTACTCGTCAATTTCCTCGAATTTTGAGATCGCAATTCTGTTGTCAGGAGACTAAAGCACTCACTTACCAACTTTAACAAAGAAATTCAACGTAATAAAGGCGTGGTTTTTTCAGAGAGAAAACATCGCATTCAATACTGATATCGAAACGGCACTCGAATGCGATATTTTCTCTCGGAAAAAACGACGCCTTTATTACGTTGAATTGCTTTGTTAAAATTGGTAAGCGAGTGCTTTAGTCTCCTGACAACAGAATTGCGATCTCAAAGTTGGAGAAAAATGACGAGTAGCTGAAAAAATGGAGCCAATTGATGCGATATATCGCATGCCGTTCTGACACAAAATATGGCGTCCATCGAATCACCTTAAGCTCGGGTCAAAATCACAGTGCGGAGCCCGGTTTCCACCATCAAATTGAGCCCATCAAAATTGATCACCGATGGAACTGTGGGCTCAATTTGATCGTGGAAACGGAGCTCCACGCTGTGAGTTTGACCTGAGCACATACGCCGATTGCACAAGTCCCAAATGGGGACCGATACGACAAGTCCCTCATCGTCTCGACTCTCATTTGGGACGTGTGTAATCAGCTCTTCTAACCTCTGCACCCTCCCTCTAAAAGGCACTCACCCTCGAGATTTTCTTCAAGTTGATGCTCAAATGCTGAAATACATTTTTAATTTTTACTTCTATTTCAAGTAACTCAAAAATTAACTTTCAATTATGACTTGACTCATTNAAAAAAAAAAAAAAAAAAAAAAAAAAAAAAAAAAAAAAAAAAAACTAACTACTATACTACTACTACTATACTACTACTATTACTACTACTACTACTGCTGCTGCTGCTTTTACTACTACTGCAGAAGATGTACATAGGAAGAAAGAAGAACAGTCGGTAGTGATGTCATATATCGGAGTTTCAGGCACGCAAGTTTACATTACGTCAGTCAAATGTATGTTTTTGCTTCTGTTAACACTGTTTCCGTACGAAGAGAGCGCATCCGAGAACCTACTTCTTTCAGATGCATTAGCTAAGGAAGTTGTTTAAAATTTGTTTGTTAGAAAAATATTAAGGAGAAAGAAAAGAAAAACAGCAAATTTTATAAAAAAGCACGGCTAGTTGCAAAAATTAAGTTAGAAACCTAAATTAATGTGAATACTGATAATCTGAAAATGTTCTCTCAGATAGCTCGAGCGAAAAATTGCGTTGGTTTTTTAATCGGGAGCTTCAATGATAATTTTATCCATTTCGCGAATCAAGAGTAACATTTTTGAGCTATTTTACTCCCTAGAATTACAAATCATGGGGACAGGGCATCAATAGGATTCGAAAAGATAACTATGATAAAAACAAAACTGAAATATTGAATGAGAGATCAGCATTATAGCTACTTGAACTTTCACAACGACATGAAATAATGAGGCATTACAGTACTACGGGGGAGGGGGTACTGAGAGTACTAGGAACCCCCCTCTCCCCGTCAGAGAGTTTGAATTTATAAACTTCCCCCTTCCAATGAAAAATTTCTGGCTATTCCATCGCGCGGGTATAAAATAAAAACTACGACACTAGGACTCAAGTGAACTTTTAAAAAATCTCTGCAATGGAGCTTCAGAAAAAAGCTTATTTTCCCATTATATTGGCTTTTGATTTATTGCTACAGTGATGTGCGACAAGACACATGTGGACATGAAAAAAAAGAGAAGCGAGAAAGTTGAGTTCCAGGTGATCATCAGAGCGCGCAACCACTAGCGACTTTCTTTATGCACCGAGAGGGGAATAAGTGCCTCCTTTGATCAAGGAAAAATGAAAAAATTAAATCGATAAAAAGCCGCGATAACGGTAGATACCTAGCTCTAAAATTACTGTTGCTAACTTGACAACTAAATTGTGAAGAGGTCACCTACCCACCAATAATGTTTATAGGACAAAAAATTCCCCCGGCTCCAAGAGCAAGTAACAACTGCCGTGATAAGGCTACTGAGAGATGGGACTGCTCGAGAGCCAAAGCGTTTCTCACCAAGAAAAGATGCGAGGAAAAAAGGATCAAAATTCGGAGAAACTACAATGACTTTCACGGCAAGAAAAGTTGGGTTTCTGGATTTTACATAAAGATCAGGGCGGTAATGGGCCAGGGCCACCTAGTGAAAGCAGATTGTATGTTTCTGCAATCCAGAATTATCATCGTTCATCTACCCCACCGTTACTAATAGCAATAAAACTTTTGGATAAAATTGTTTTTATCTCTGAATCCCAAGTTGTTTGGGTTCACAGAGAGGGATTTTACATTGTAAAACTATAGCACTCCGATGTCAGTCAGGATCCAAACGCGACACGAGCAGTTATGCATAATACCAAGCTTTAGGAAGTCCGTGAGAAATCAAGAAAATACCGGTTCTAATCGGTGCAGAAGTAAATGCGGGGAAATACAACAAATAATTTCATAAATTTTCGAAAATAATTCATAGAATTAATCAAATAATATAAATATGCCCCATTTAAAGTGAGTCAGCTCTTGAGAACACTGCTAATTTCCTTTTCTTTTTCATTTTTGAAGCATCCTGGTTTTTAAGACTTCTTGCGGTTCAAGGGTTAGCTTTTGCGCATTCTTAAATTGGACTGCATTTTGCAATTTGGAAGTATAATTTTCTGGTTCAGTTTAGAAACAACATACGTACAATTAGTTTCCTTCTGCACATAAGTGTTTCTTCAGATGAGCCAGAAATTGTAGTTCCAAATTGCAAAATGTAGTCCAATTACAAGTTCAATTACTCTCACTGACTGTTTCGTCTCTGCCCGCACACAGTGCGGCGATTTCGGCCAGACAATGACAGCAACAACCGCCATTAAAAGTACAGTTTTTTTACACTTTTCACAAGATTAGAAAAAATAAAAATAGGCAGTTTTCGCATGAGCTGATTCAGTTATGATGCATAATTACAAAAATACTTAGACACTCAATATATTCTGTTTAAATTCTTGTTTATTATCCTTCTTTTTTTTCTTTTTTCCTGTTATTGTTCTCTTAGCTCTTATAGTCTGTCCCAGATACGAAGAGCCCTGGAAAATCAGAGTAATTAGCACTATTTGGCGGGTTGGGGTGCCTCGACCCTCGTCACCTGTCATCTCGTCGCCTCTCACATGCGTCGCACAGAGGGCCACAAGTCACCTCGAGGCAACGCATACTCCCTTCGCATTTTTCCGCGGTGGTTTTCCCCGAGGTCCAGGAGCGGATTCCCGGCGTAAGATGCCGCCGCGCCGCGGAGCTCATAACCAACCCTCTGTACGGTGCGGGGTTTGCTCGGTGATTAGTCGGGCACAATAGAACGAACGATACCTTGCTTCTACATAGTGCAAATTATTCTGATTTTCCAGGGCTCTTCGTATCTGGGACAGACTATAGTTTCTGAAAGCCGCTGCGAGACTCAGACGCCACAATCCTCAGGGAGTGTATCTCTATGTGCCAGAAATGCGAAATCACTTTGGAAGAAAAGTACTATTCTAATCTAATGTATGTTGATGGTGTATGCCCTAATGACATTTACTTATCTACGTAAATATAATCAAAACCCTAATACTGTGGCCCAAATACTGTAAGTTACAGGATCATAGAATAAAGCTGGGTCCACACTGTCCTGCGGGGAAATCGAAGCAAATCAGCAGTAAAACCTCAAACACCTATTCATCCTTTTACCAGGGATTTTATTTATTATTTAAATTTAATTTCAAAATTTCATTTTCATGTTATTGAACTCTTAATTTTTGTACATGAGAAAATTTAGTTTTTTTTTTTTTNTTTTTTTTTTTTTTTTTTTTTTTTTTTTTTTTTTTTTTTTAACTAA